TAACGGCACGCAACTCGGAACGTTGTTTTAAACGTTGCCCCTCTGCTATTAAAGGCGTTCACCTCGCTCGTGCGTGTTTCAGGTTATTGTTTGTGTGTTTGAATATTTGCTGTTCAAAATATCGCCTTCGGTTTAATTAAAAAAATATCTGTAATCCATAGTCTGTAAGGAGGGGCGTTTATGACTCCCAGGCAAAAATGTACACTATGCACCCTCCTCTTAGTCTCTCTTTCCTTCTACAGATTTTTCCCTTCCTTTCACTTCTTTGTGTTCCTCGTTCTTGTATCGGTAGTGTTCGACTTTAAATCGCCATCCTGGTTGATGCTTTTCTGGGTTTGCTTAGTCGCTTCAGGAATATGCCAGAATAATCTGTTTTAAACACCCAGTCGTACCCCCTCTTGAATTCAACCAAGTGCTTTGGAGAAAGAGCTAACCCTATGGCGGGAGCCACAAAACTAATAAAAACATTATTATTTTATTATTATTATTATTATTATTATTATAAATGTGAACTATTTTATCTCAGATTGTTTACAGCGGATTCTAAAAATGACTTTATGCAGGTAAAGGTAGGTGTAGGTAAAATGCATTATTACGCAGTAACATTGTTACAATTTGAATTTCTTTACGACTGCGGAATATATTCTCAGAGCGTAATTGCGTCCAACAAGGTGACGTGGTGGTGACAATTACGTATATGTATGAAGGTATTTAGTTTGATGCGTTATGAACTGTAAAGCTATTTGAATCATATTAACACGTTTGTCATCTCGTTGCCGGGATTCCCTCTTGCGAGGCGTTTCTAAATATGACAGCGGATTCTCAGGAAGGTCTTCGTTGAAGTTACAGAAAGTTGCATCAGCTGTTACAGTAGCAAGATTAGGAGGAAAATTGTATGATGTTAACTTCACACATGTACAGTAACTTCCATACGAAATGCACGATCAAACGTAATGTAGGCTCATAAACACGTATTGTGCCCTTTCGCAGGATTTTGATAAATTTCGAAGGTCGCCGTGGCCGGCGCGTCGTAAGGCACACCCACAACCACTAACGAGCTTCGCTGACCTCAAACAATGCGATTGGGTCTGGGATGTCGTGGTGGGTGTGACGTCAGCGCTTTCGCGCGGTGGCGTTGGAGGAGGCGGCAGGGCAGGAGCACAGAGCGCGCGGCGAGGACGGCGTGCCCCGCCGCACGCCGGCCCCCTCCCCCCCCCTCCACCTCCCCCACCTCGGGGCATTCAGTCCGCCCCATTGCCCAGCGCGGACCCCCCCCCCCCTGGCCGTTGACTACGGCGTACGAAGTCTCCAAACCGACTTCCTGCTTTTCGCAAACGGGCCACTCCCGAATGGATTTTCCGGGGAGAGAGCGCAACTCTTTTCTCCCCAATTTGAAAAGCGCTTTGCGGGAGTTGGGTTATGCATATTCACGATGAAGGACTCGTAAAAACTCGCGATTTCGTATTAAGAATTGAGATTTATCGTCGTTGCCCTTGTGCGGTGTCGTTTCAGAACTTCGTATTGCTGAAAGTGGAATAATCAGAAATTGCGTCTAAATGTGAACGGGGTGGAAATGTTCTTACTCACTTCGAAAATCGGTATGTTGCTCGTTTTTGGCGAAGAAGAATTTAAATAGTTTACTGTTTTTTAGTAATTGTTAATTATTTACAATTCATCATAATAGCAATGTTGGTTATTCGGCGGAACAAACAACCAAAGGTAATTGTTACTACATACATTCCGTGGTGGTAGCAGATATCTTGTGGTAATCCATAGTATGTTAAAGGAAATAATCTTCACAAAAGGTGGGTCTCCACAAAAGGTAATCTCCTTTAACATATTGTTACTACATGCTTTTGTCGTGAAAGAGCTGTCGTTCATCATTTCCACGTGCTAGTAGAGCACTGGTAAATGCAGAAATGTACAGGAAAGTTGTTTATTTAATGGAATTTCACAAAAATAAAGTAATATTATTTGTTATTATTATTGGTATTATTATTATTTTATTTATTATTAATATTCGTAATAACGCACATTTCCGATTTTTTAATTAATATTTTTGCATTCAATGGTAAACATCTTTACATTCACATTATTTTCAATCACATTTATCAATCACCAACCAAAACACACCAAACCCACCGACTAAAATACGCATTGAATCCCTAACGAGTTAATTCCCTCCACAAATGACGCCAAAATTCAGCCCCCACAAAAATATACACAATACTAAGATAATTGTTTTTACTATAAAATTAGCAATATGTAACTAAAGGGATGTTTATGTACAGCGAGTTGTATAGCAGAATATATTCGTTACTTATATATTTCGCCGAATTAATTTATTGATTAATCAACTAATTACTTATTAGCTGAACTCCACTGCAAATCTCGACGACGGGAACGAGGGAGAGAAGCTTTGAAAGAACGAAAATTAGTAATTTTTAATTCTACTAATTAAAATAACATGCGCATGAATTTGAACATTAGCGGAAGATGTAAAAAACGGCGTTTGTACAACGCTGTCACCGAACCAGAAAGTGCCTGTGTTTACAACTTTTACTTTTTTACGTTACAAAAGTAGGTATTCGTATGCAGATGAGAGAAGATGAGAAAAACGTAGAAAACATAGAGATATCCTCTCTCCGTGTACACTTATACCCCCATTACACTCTACACGTCTCGGGAGCCTAGTGGTTGTCCCGACGGGGGACAAACGTGCCTGGAAGGGGAACACCCCACAAGCCAATGTGTAGGTCGGTGCCGGATCTCACCACCCAGCTGCGAAGGAACCACCTCCAATATTCACTACACTAACGGCACAAATGACCTCGTTTCCGTTGACGTGCTCGTGAACGTCAATCCAAGGGGAGACAGAAATGCATTTGCCCTCTTGTTGTTTTATTCTGCACGCGCCTACGCTTATGTTCATAGGCATTTACGAGTACAATAGATAGGAAATAGGTGCACTTGATATTTTTTTTTCTGTATAATGTAAATTGTATAGTCATGATGCGAACTAATTTTAAATTGCAATCGAGTATGCATTGAATATAGAATGTTAATTAATCTTTGTATGCTTATTTGTTTGACTTATAATGTAAATATCCTTATAAAAATAACTAAGGTTTGACGCTTCTTCACTTTAATTGACGATGAAATTGTGTAAAATCAAAATAACAAAAACTAGTATTTCAAAAAAAGCAGAAACACCATGACGATGATAATATATACAGAAATGTGTGAATAATTAATTATATCAGCATTTACATCAGTTGAAGCGTTTTTGTATTTTTCATGTTTCATGTTGTCTCTTAGAGATGAACGTTTTGCGTGTCAAATATATGGAGCATTCTAAGAGGTCGTCCATTAAAAACAGCGGACTGTTCATCGATATTTGCGGATACTTCCGATCCGTCTACTCCACCTCTCCCACCTCACGTGTCCCCGTGCGAGGACAAACAAACAGCAGTGGGTGGCAGCAGCAACTCGGCGCCCGGGCACCAGAGGCGTTGTTGTCTACAGTAAATTTAGCGCACTGCCGCCGCCGCCGCCGCCGCTTTCGCCACCCTTCCGCCGTCTCTACCACCATCGCTGTCGCCTTCGCCGCTCTTTCACGCCGTTACCGCCACTCTCGTGCACGCCCGGTTTCCTTCTCCATCTGCGTTTCTCCCTCTTCTCTCTCTCTCTCTCTCGTTCTCCTCCTCGCCCCTTCCCGCGCGTTGTCTCCGCGGCGCGGCGCGGCGCGGCGGCCGGTGCGTTCCGCGCGGGCGCCACGTTTGAGGCACGCGTCGCGCCCCAGCGCCGCCAACGTGACGGCGCACGTGGACGGCGGGCGGCGCGCGCATAAAAGCGGCGGCGAGTCGCGCGCCCGCGCCATTTCCGCAACGCCGTCGCGCGCCTGCACAGGCCACCGCAGCTCTCGCGCGCGCTCTTTCTCTCTCTCCTTCCGCGCGCTCGCGCCATGGTGACGCACAACGCCAACCGGTCCTCGAGCAGCACCTCCTGCTGGCGGCGAGACGCCGACGACGCCCAGCGCGCTCGCGCCCGCCCGCCGCCCCCAGCGCAGCCGCCCCGCCGCGGCGCATACGCCCACGCCACCACGGGCGCGGGCAGCGCGGCGCCCGCACGCGAGGTTACGCTCCGCCGACGCGCTCGCGCCGCCGCCTCCATCACCTCTGCCGCCGCCGCCGCCGGCAGGGGCCCGGGCCGCGGCCGACCCGAGCCGGGAGAGTCGACGCCTCGCCGCCGCACGTGCAGCCCGCACAGGTGACCAGCCGGTTGCCCAGCTCGCCCGGGGGGAGACAGAGTGCGCGGCGAGGCGCGGCGCCGTGCCGACCGCGAAACGACCTCCCGCTTCACTCGCCGCTCGCCCGTCGCCTGGCTGCTGGCTGGCTCGCTCCCACGCCGCTGCAGTGTTGCGCGAGGCTCCGGGACGCGCCGCAGGCCGGCTCTCACGCGCTGTGCGGTTCTTCTGTCGCATTCGCGTCCTCTCACCGGACGGTCGACTGTGCCCGGGACTTAGAAGTAGCTCCAGTGCTTATTAGATGTTAGAGGACGTTGTGAAGTGAATCGACTTCAGTGTGGCGTTCAAGTCGATCGCGTGCCATTTGCAACGATTTTGACGCCCGCCTGCTCCGTTCTGTCTCGCGAGCGGAGCGGCCAGCAGTGAACCGTGCCTGGGGTCACGCTTCCACAGTTTTCTCTCCCGCCGTGTCGTTGGACTGCTCGGCTCAAGTGGGCCGCGCTAGCGATTTCGGTTGAGGAGTTCCCTCGGCGGAAACGCACTGCGTGGTGCGCGCCCCTGCTCGCGGAGTGCGAAAAATTCCAGCCCGTGACGAGCGCGGCGCGGGCGCGCGCTAGGTGAAGCGCGGCGCCGAGAGCGAAGCGGAGCGGAGGTGCTCCCGCCCCCGCGCCCGCCCTCGGCCGCCCCGCGCGGGCGGCGCGCCGCTGCCGGTCGCGCTGTGGCCCGGGGCCTGGACGCCGGCGAGCGGGCCTCCCCCGGCCCCGCCCCCGGCCACGACATGAACCTTAGTCACAGGGCGAGCGCCCTCCTCGACAAGGACGGCGTCGAACACGGGGCGTCGGCGGTGAGTTGAGACGGATAGATAGACAGGGAGGCAGAGAATGTGACACGTGACCAAGCCGCTCTGGCGCGACTGGTGTGTGCGATTGGAGTTTGAAAGATCGTGTGTGCCTTTGCATTTTTTTTTATTATTATTATTTTTTTTGCTGTGCTTTAGAATCTTTCGTTTGATGCAAATTTGCTGCAAGTGGCGTATAGCTCGAGTTTTCTTTGCAGGATATGCAGTTCTTATTAAGATAATTATTGTGGGAAAGCGCAGCACAATAGCGAGGGAAACGTGCGGCATATTAGTGTTGTTAGTCACGATCGAATTAATGAGTTTTATGCATACGTTGGAGAATGTGGTTCTGTGAACTTTTGCATATTGCATTTATTGAATGCAGTATTTACCATAATTTGCCACAGCATGCATCGTAAATTTGCTTTTCAAAGTCTTCAGTGACTGAGCATTCAAATGGCAGTGATTCGGAGTGTTTCACATTCGTCCACTTTTAGAATTTTGATTTGGAGTTTTGAGATACTTCCCAAAACGTAAATATTTCACAAGTAATTTTGCAAATGATTTCTCATAAATCATTATTTTGCGCTTTTCTCAACGATACAAAATGATTCCGTCAGTTGATTGCTGCAGTCAAATATAAATGTAATTTTTCGGTGTACTTTTTTTTCCTTTTCTACTAGAGTTATATTTACTTTAAGTGTGTTCGTGTTATATCAAGAGTAGACGTTAATTAAGGTGCAGTTAGTACAATTATTACCATTTATTACTGAAATCGATTTGTTGTGTTTGATACGTGTATTCTTCGTATTACCTTCACGGTGTGTATGACCAAGATCATTCTTCAAATTAGTAGAATTTATTCTAGCTGTTCAATGTTGTTGGTATTATTATTATTATTATTATTATTATTATTATTATTGTCCTTCACATTCAATAATGATAGCCTAGAACGAGTTAAATGTAGACACAATATATCAATTTAGAGAATTGATCTTAAGATACTTTTAGCCTATCAGGTTTATTTTGATAATGAAATAGTAATTTGAAGATAGTAGAAGTGGTCAGGTTTTACTGAGATCGTTCGAAGAAGAAATCTCATTTCCTATTATTTCGTTTCTCTTGCTCGTTTTCTTAAGCTCAGTAATCTCTACTTCCCTGCCTCACTCAGGTGAACGTGTGAATAAAAGCTAGCAACAAATGTTGTTGACATTTGATTACTAGATATTTTTTCCACATTCCAGGCAGAATTAGAATCTTTGGAATTGAAAACTGATATCTCCCTCTCGAATAACCGGTCGAGTTATCTGCACAGTTAGATATTTTCTGCATTTTGCCTTTTTATTTCTCTTCGTCGTGAAAATACATTGATCCTTTTGAAAACTCGCAACGTTATAAGTACAGCCTTTACAAACTTGCATAGCTAGAAAAATGAATATAATGGATTTGGAATAGAGTGATGGATTTGGAATGTTTAGAGACATTTGCCTCAAAGCCTAAAACTAGACTGTCGTTTTTTCAATAGGTTTCTTCAATTGATTTAAAGAAAATTTGCTTTTATTCATTTTTTAATCGGCTCTATTAGATTACAATATTCAGTAATGCAAATACAATACCTTGCGTGGGTTGCTTGAACACATTAGCGAAAAAATTCGTGAGGAAAAAGGGACTCGCAAAAACCTCGCTTCACTTGATTCTAAAACCAGCACTATCAGATTTCACCGAATGGTCAGTGAACCATCTGCAAATTAGATATTTTTGTTTCCACATTCTGGGCAAAATTTTTGGTGTCAAATTACGTCGGCACGTATCTAGTAGTACAGATTTCAAGGAATGTTACGCTCGTAGCGAATTTTGGCCGCATCTTTGCAATGCATTTGACGCAGAAAATTAATGGAAAAATGCAAGTATCTTCGTCAGCAACGTGCGCCATATGGAGCCCGGTTTTTTTTCTAAGGAATTAAAATGTCGAGGAAATGTTTTAAATGAGCTCTTAGAAATATTTAAAGAAAATATAAATACTAGTTTAAATAAATAATGTCGGTATTATCTTTATGAAAGTCCATTTCACTGAAAAAGATCCGATAACAACTTCATTTTATAGGGGACAGTTATGTAAATATTATTTATTATTATATTGTCCGATTGTGTAATTCAAAATTTTTGAAGTTGCACATATTTCCACCTGTGATTGATGGTATGAAAATGCTATGTGCAGACGAACGAGGACAGCGTTAGTCAGCTAATTACGAGCTTATAATAAAACAAAAAAGAAAAAAAAAGAAAACTGCGCAGGAGAGATTCCGCTGCGTCGGCCGCGGGTGGCGGCATGGTGCAACACGTGTCTGCTGCGCGGAGCTGAGCTCAGCCGAGCCCATTGCTAAGCGCCGCGTTGCAGCCGTTGGTTCCGCCTGCTTTCCCTCCCCCCCCCTCCGCCCCGCCCCGCGCCGCCCCGCGCCGCCCCGCTCGTCACGTGCCTCCACGCGCGGCGCCGCAGTCACGTGCCCGCGGGCATTGGCGGCTGGGAGGCGGAGCGCGTCCGCCCGCCCCCACGCGAGTCTCTTCGGAATGTCTTTCCGCGCTACACCAACGAAACGCGACGCAGCCTACGCTTAGCCGTCTAGTGAGCTAACATTGCCCAGTCGCTTATCGCGGAGAAATCTACAGAGCTCATATGGGGGGAGGGGGGTGAAATAAATGTTTCAGCGCTGTATTGTTTTGAAATATGACCGGCACTTCACCCGCGTTTCGAAATTAGTTGTTTTGTTTTGTTTTGTGTTTTTTGTTTTTTTGGATTAAACGTTCATTTTATATTTTGTAAATGCAAGATTGATGTGCAGCAACATTGGCGTTTGGTATATTGATGATTCAATTATTACGAATTATTTATTGCGTTAAAATTAAAATTGAAATGATTGATCATTTTGTACGAGTTGAAAACGTCCAATTGTGTGCCCTTTCTACTTTTCTGAATATGCCTCTTCCTGTGTACTAGGAGATTAGTAGTTACTAGTCTACTAGGTTATGTACATATGTTCATTTTTAGTCGTCCTAAATCGGTCACTGGCCATGGCTTCTCTCGTACACACTTCGCTGTGGTAGTTACCCCACCGCCGGTGTTGAGCCCCATCGCCTGGCCTCGAGGGCCGACGAACATGGCGGCTCCTCGTGCGGGCTCCGAACGGGCATGCGTGCGTGCCGCTGAGGTCGCTGGGAAACGAACAGGTTGCCTCCGGCGACACCGGGGAGGGGGCGATGCACAGTGCACGTTTCCGGCCTGGCGTGAGTGCAGGATTAGGGGGGGGGTTGGGGTGGGTGAGGACGCTGGAGGGCGGGAGCTGGGGTTGGTTTGGGGTGGCGTGGGTGGCAGGACGTAGGGGTAGTGGGTGAGCTGAGCCCGGCGGGGGCGGGGGCGGCTGGGTTGGGGCGCGGTGCGTGGCGGCTGGGCTGAGCGGGGAGGGGCGGGGCGCGGACCTTTGCCCCGTGGGCGCTCGGGCGTTTCCGCGTGAAGGAGCCG